CACCAAGCATCTTGTTTAAACAGACTTTTCACACCGCTTTTCCGCAGCTATTTCTTCCAGACATTGAATACAATTTGCAGATTGCTCAACAATAATACCTTTGCCATCACCAGCACTGCTTTATATTTAAAGCTGCTAATGGGAAATATATAACAAAGACAAATAAAAAACACTTCACCAAGCTGTGATCTCTGCCTTCAAACTATTCAACAGAGCATGACCAAAGACAAATAAAAAACACTTGCCTTCAAACTATTCAACAGAGCATGAAAAAACACCAACCCTCCGCCCCCTCTCCAAAAACCCCAAAACCATTCACATTGACATGGAAAAAAATAAAAAAAACTTCCTTAAATGTGAATATAATTCTAAATACGTTTTATCGTGATGAACTGCGTACCTGTCCAGGGAGTGAACCCTACCTTTAAAGGAAGAAGCAATGATGGAGATCATCACTATTGTATCTTAGAGTTAATAATTTGGGGGACGTCTGTGCGTCTCTCCCACCTCCCCCGTCTCGCTCTGTTTGCCAGAGTCTGATGCGTCCTAGTCATCTGTGCAGGTTCACGCAATGTCAGCTGGGATTGGCTCCAGCTCCTCCTACTAGGATGGATGAATATTGATGTCAAATATTTAAATCACTCTCAGTGATGTTTTATTTTTTTGATTTTTTTTTTCTGTCCTAGGTACGTGCCCACCATCGAAGACGTGGACATGTACAAATCCCATAAAGGCCCTGTGACCGACCTACACATTGTAGACCAGTACATGATGGAGGTACGTTTATTCCATTAAAAAAAATAATCAGTGACTTTCTGACCACCTTTTCCAGACGACTTTCAGCACCATAACCACAGCAAACTCAAATGACCTCACGGTCACGCTGCTCAGCGTTTTAGCAGCCCTGCCGAGTCCTAATTCACACACTACGGGTGTCGTGACAAGATCTCATCATCATGTGGTAATCACCCTACAGCAGCCCGCCGGTGGTCCAACCTACATATGGGTTGGCTGCAGACGGGATAACAGCTGAACAGCAGGATCAGCCCACACTGTCTCTGAGGGAAATTTAACACCAAGGTGTTGGCAGAACTCACGTAGGCCAACTTCTGGCAGGACAGGCCTTCTCTGCCTGCCAGTTTCAACAAATGTTTTTTTAATGGTGTCAGCTGCAGCATTCAAAAACTTCACTGAGTAAAAACTCAAAGATTCTCAACACGAGTCTGAGTTTGTTGTCTGCGTTAAACCCCGGCAAGCAAGGGAATTCTTCAGTGCTTTCGCAGCAAAACCTGCGATTTGAACCGACAATCCTTCGATACCAAGTCCAGGACATGTGTTCACACTAAAATTAAACAATCATACGTCCTCTTGTCTTCTTTACTATAACAAAAACCATCTTCATCAAGCTCTTCTGTCCTTGTCCGTCCATCAGAGGTAACCACAACTAAATAAGGCAAATAAAAAAAGTCCATGAACTAAAAACCCCAGCTGAGCAGAGAGTGTCTTTAGTGTCTCTGATAGAAATGCAAACACCTTTTCCACAATTGACCACGTCTAGTCCTACGATGTCCCTGTCCATCACGACTCAACAGACCACATATTCAACCTAGTGGACACGTTCCCTTCTGTTTTACGATGCATTTTCTGTTTCCCCCTCTGAGAGGATCAGGGATGGGGGTGAATGCCGTTCACAGGGCCCGGAGAAAACCTGCAGAACTTGCACGAATGTTCCACACCTAGAGGCGTGAGGCTGAACCCTCCTGGTTATAATGCCCCGAAATGCAAGCCATTAGTGCCCTCTTTTAGAAGTCGTGGCTTTTTTCTTCCACAGAGCCAACGAACACCAGTGTAGTGCATTCGACTGCATTATCCTGATTTCTCTCTGTCCTGTCTGTCCAAGCAACTCAAAGGGCAGCGTCCAAAACATTGAACTGAATCCTGTTTTTTTCAACTGTATTGACTTACTTGTAAATTAATATAAATCAAATAATATTTTTTTTTCAAACTGACAAAAGAACTCCATTTTAGGACACTAATCAAATATTAGGATACAAATATTATTGACATTAAGTTGGAGACACCATAAATAATTTTTTTTTCAAACAGACAAAATAACAGACAATAATCAAATATTAGGGTAAAAATATTATTATTGACATTAAGTTGGAGACACCATTTATATATTTCTACGATTCAACTGATGATCAATGTTGCTCCAAGGTTTCAATATGTTTCTTATGATTCTTTCCAACGTCTGATGATCATGTGGACGTTGTGTCGAACATGTAAAACCCAATGTTGACTTTCAATAACATTTGGATGTTTTGGAGCTGCAGAGACGGCATTTGAAAATTGTCACCATTTAACAGAAGAACAGTACATGCTGTTCCTTCGTCGCCAAAACACTTGTTTCACAGGAGCAACACCTTTCAGATCTGTTGAAGATGAACACGGGAGTTGCTAATTACCAGAAAGAGGAAATATAAAACCCCCACAAGAACACAATTTTCACTTCAAAATAACCAAGCACTATTGAATTAATTAAAACTGCAAGTGCTACCTTGGTGAAGAATCTGTTAGAAAATTTTTTAAATGTGTCACAAAATGTGTCAATACGAGGAGACTGGTGCTTCAAAATTAACGATGATTAATACCGATATAGTGGAGTATTTTTCACAGGTCAGAACTTCCCAAGGGTCAACGTCATTGACAGGGTCGTAGCACCTGACTCTGAGCTGAAGAAATTCTGCCAAATAACAACTACTGATGACACCACGCCTGGGATTATCTCATCACAGCAGTCTGCTTAAATTCCTCCACCTTATCAAACTCTTCTTCCCACTCATGCAGATGTGCAACATCCCATACCTGGACGCACAGCTGGACCTGTTGCTGACTCTCAGAGAGCTGCCCAGCAGCATGATGGACCTGCAGCCCGTGAGTCGACTTCACCTCCTCACTCTAAGGTTGAATAATGTGTCTGCTCCATGTCCACCAGAGCTTAACAATCAAAGCAAAGACACAGAAGGAAACACATATGCAAATGTATTCCTTAATGCGACTACTAATGTTCAGATATGCTGTGGATTTAGACGTAAATGAAAAGAACATCTGGGGAAAACACTGAAAGCTTTTTTTTTTTTCTCTCTCCACTTCTTTTTGACTTTTACATCTGAAGTGGTGAGAAAAGTGTGTTTTATTCTCTCTGCCAGGTGGTTAAGTGATGTGGAAGGTTTTTTCAGAGGCACTTTAAGATACAACTTCTTATTTAATGGAGAGGAATGTGGGGGCATTATTAATACAAGAGCTTTCTTTTTTTTCAAATAATGTAAAACATACAGTTTTCAATTCATTTGATAGAAACCCATAAGACATAAAAAGCAGGTATTTTTGAGGAAGCTGAGAGACAGTACATCTAGAGATTTGATTTAAAGAAACAATATCTTTATTTTTATTTTCAACCAAAAACTCCACATCTTCATTGATAAATGTCTACGTTGCCTGCGGTTAGATGCCGTTGACCCAGTCCAGTGATGTCACAGATGTGAGGTCAAGCCCCAAGCTTGCATTCCTTCTCACCGCGTGGACCAATCACTTTAATGGTCTCCTCATCTTAT